CTACTCTCTGGAATAGGGAGATGGCCCAGGCTATTGACACAATTACTTGCTCCTCAGCACCCTCTTCACCTGCACATTGCCCAGCAGTCTCTCTGGTTTACCAGGGAACTGACTGAGATCAAATGAAAAGGATAACGGATAGAGCACCATTGGCAGAAAATTCCAAATGAAACTGATCAAACACAGCATGCAGCCCATATTAGAACTGTGAAGATGGTGAAAAGACACCAACTCTCTACCACCATTGCATCTGCTCATAATTGTCCAGCTGAAGTATTATGTAAACAGATAAAGGACTGTGAAGGGTTAATTCTTCACAGAGCCAAACAGCCTTAAGTGACAGGCTGCTCCAAGAGATCTGATTAGTTAGCATCAGCTGAGCAGAGAAAGACTTCTGAAGTAGATGCTAAGGAGAGATGCAGTCTGATTTTCAGGCCTAGCTGAGAAGAGTTTGGTACTGACAGTTTCGGAATTCAGCCCTGACTGAGAGCAATTTAACACAGACAGGAGAACGGGAGGAAAGATGGCAAGGAAGTTTGGGAAGTAGGCAAAGACTCCCATTTGGGCCAAAGAAAGGGGACAGATCGTCTACTGAGAGGAGAATTCCCCTACCCAGTCAAACAGGGAGTTAGCTCTGAAGAGTGAAGAGATCTCTGGTCTGTTGTGGTTAGAAACTGCCTTTGGAGACCTTAAAAATCAATTTAAAAACTCAAGATGAGTATTGGTGTTTCAAGAGAAGGGGTTTGGGTACTGGGAAGAGTGCATCAGCCTTCTGGAAACCAAAGGAGTCGGAGAATACTCAAAGAAAGTGTACTGTTGTGTTCGGAACAAAAGCCTCTCAACATAAAGATTTTAAGTAACTGTGAACAGCTTAAGAAACTCTCATTAGCCTGAAACATAAGAACTGAAGTATATGCCTTTTGATTTTACCTCAGAAATTTTACCCCTATTTCACCTGACCTTTCCCCTCTATGTTGAATAAAATATTTTGTTAACTGAGAATATAAAAGCTTCTCAAATGCCATTTAAGTCATATAAGTTAAAGAGGGCTCCCATTCCTTCCCTCAGATTCCTGAGCTGAGCAAACAGCCGAAATAGTATAATATGACAGGGTGGGACAGCTAGAATACTTCAGGAAAGAAGAAAGCAGACAACTAGGGTGGCTCAGTCACAAAATGGAAAGAAAAATAGGGGAAATCTTGCCACTGAGGGAGGGAAGAGGATGGGGGTGTCATTGGGGGCTTTTACATTACAGGCTCAAGGAATTAGATTCTGACCAGACAATGGCCCACTGTGATCAATTTGCTATTTACTTTGCAAACAAAATTGCTCAGATCCGCTCTGGGTTAGACGCTGTCATGGATGCATGTTCAAACGATGTACCTTTGGCTTCTACAATTTATATGGATATCTTTCAGTTTGTAAAGCCAGAGGATGTGAAGAACAAGTCCCCTGGAGAGCTGAGACCGACCACCTGTGCTCTCGACCCTTGCCCTTCCTGGCTACTAAAAGTTGCCAGAGGGGGACTGGCTGAGTGGGTAAGGGGACTGGTAAACACTTCTTGAGGTTGGAGGTTGTACCACCCATGCCCAAGAAGCAGTGATTAGGCCTGTTTTTGAAAAGAAAGAAAAAGTCCTTGAGCCCTTTTATGTTGGAGAAATTCTGGCCACTTCTGTAATTTTAAAATTTTGGTTTTATGTTTTTATGTAACTTATTTTATGTATTTTATTAATATTATAAGCCACCTTAAGCTCCATAAAGAAAAAAGGCACCTAATAAATATTTTGAAACACATCAGATTACACTTTATTTAAGAACTGGAAATTTTTCTGATTCATATTTTTCTGGAAACTCCATAATAATGCCCACCATGGTGGTAGGCCCTATTATAAGATCATTCCTAAAAACCATAAAATCATTCCTGAAAATGTTGGAGGATTTCCCTTGGAATCTTCCAACATTAGCCAAGTGTCCTCCTATGGTAGAGGCAGTGCTGTCTGCCAGTATAAAGGCAAAACCTCCTGGACTCTTCAGAAACAGCTATATCAACAAGGCAGAACATAGCTGGAATTGACTGTTTGGAATAAACTCATGAAATCATATGCAAAACAGTCAATACTATGTGGGATTCAGGATTACAGCTAATTACAATATAAACCCACAATCAGTGGGCTGGATAAAACCAGAACAATGTTTGAGTGCAGTGACACCTTTAAGACCAACAAAATATTATTCATGGTATAAGCTTTCGTTTTCAAGCACTTCTTTTTGTTTTTTTGTTTTTTTAATTTTTTTTTAAATTTTAAAATACATCACATGTATTAAAGTGTAAACACTTCTTCAGATACCAGCTTTTCTGCTGGTGAAAAAGGAAGGAGGGATCCCATCAAACAACAACAAAAAATTACACTGGAGATCATTAGATCCAACTGCACAGAAGCTATGTTGAATGGGGCCACAGTACCCAAGAGAATTGAACTTTTTTTTGTTCAGTCGCACAGTCGAGTCCGACTCTTCACAACCCCATGGACCAGATCACCAGCCTTCCTGTCTTCCGCCGTCCTCTGAAGTTTGCTTAATTTTATGTTCGTTGCATCTATGACACTGTCTAACCATCTCATCCTTTGCCGTCCCCGTCTTCGTTGGCCTTCAATCTTTCCCAGCATCAGGGTCTTCTCCAGTGAGTGCTCCCTTTTCAGTGAAAAAGCTAGCTGGATCCAAAACAGTTTGTATTATCAAAATTAGGGATGATTGGCAGAAACAATAGGTGCAAGATTAATGTAGGGCTCTCTAATAATTGTACTGGGATAAAGAATATCATTGATAAGAATATGAATACTCTAATGCCAGGTCACATGGTAATTGCCACTCCTATCTAGAGATATAAAATTCTGGAAATTTTGAAGCCTCAGAAGAAAGTTGACCCCTCCTCTTTGGCAAAAAAACAACAAAAAACAACCCAACCCAGAAATTTTGGACAAAACCAAAATATTTGCTATATTTACTATCTTATCAAATCTAACCTAATTTTACTGCTTTAACAACATAAAACACATCACTTACAACATGTTTAGCCTATAAAATTGCAATATTTGACATATTTACAAAATTTAAAAGTTATGAACATCTTAGTCCTATACAAGCAAAACTCCAAATGTATCTAATACTTGAGAGAAAACTGTAAACTGATGCATCCTATGCAGGGGTCATTTCGTAAAAAAAGAGGTGCAGGAGCTCATTAGCATAACTCATTAGCATAACTCATTTGCATATGCCACATACCCTGGCATCACCGGAAGTGTGTCAGAAGGCAACACCCACTGCTCAAGCTCCACTGGGCTGTTTCGGATTGCTAGCTATTGGGGGGGGACGTGCAAATCTGTCGCAGAGGAGAGAGAGCTTGTACCTGAAGGCGGGCCGGGGGGCCTCTGCAACTTACCTGGCTGCTTCTTGCTCCTCATGGTCCTACTGGGGGCTGCTGGGAGCAGGGGGTGGGGCTTGTTGCATGTGCCCGCCCCCTGGCCTCCTTACTGCCGGAGCTACGCTCCTGTGCGCTCCCGCAGGAAATCACCCCTGATCCTATGCTATCTTAGCGCATGTACCTTCATTTTGTTATCTGGTTAGAGAGAGCTAAGTTCTCAATTAAACTTTCCATTATTCTCTGAGGCTTTAGTGCAGTTTCTGCCCTTCCTCCTCCTTATCTTTGTTTTCCTTCATGCAAAGTAAGGCAGTCTGTCAATAAATGTCCCATAGTGGTTTGAGGGAGAAATGAAAAGGTCAGCCACCTCAGGTCAAAAGGACAACAGAAGATATACGTTGAGAAGCAAAGAAAATCCTGCATGCTCCCTTTGTGAAGATTCAGCATCCTTCTAGTGCAGAAATACATCCTGGATTTAAGAGCTATATATGCTTATAGCATGCCCACCATTGGAAAAGTTGACAAACAAAGTTTCTTCCTGGGCCTTCAAATCTCTCCTCCTACTCCACCCCCATACTGTGTGCACCTGCTAAGAGTATGGAGATACCAGAATTCATTGTCAATAAGTTTATGAGAACTTCAGAGTCAAGAACAGACAATTAACTACGTTTTTTATTTAAAAGAAGAAGAGTTGGATTTATACCCCACCCTTCACTCAAAGTGGCTTACAATGACCTTCCCTTCCTCTCCCGACAACAGAAACTCTGTGAGGTAGGTGGGGCTGAGAGAGCTCTGAGAGAGCTGTGACACCCAGCTGGCTTTATGTGGAGGAGTGGGGAATCAAACTCGTTTCTCCAAATTAGAATCCGCTGCTCTTCACCACTACACCACAGCTGGCTCCCGGGACAACTACTGGGACAAAAAAATGCAGGGAGAATTTATTCAGTTTCTTGATTATATCTGCTTAATTCCTTTAAAACAAAACATTGCTCTAAAAATGTATCTAAATTATTTTCTTCAAAAGAATTAGCCTCTGAAACCCAACTATCTATCTACCATATTGAAGATGTAAAAAAGAATCATCTTTTTAGAACGCCTTTTAGGTTTTTGTTCATATCACAGGCAAGCTGACAAAACAGAACTCCACTATTAAATAGGACCCCACTGTTCATATAATGCATGAAGGACCAGTAAAAATAACCAGGTTATGTATGTTTGTAAGAGAAGATATTTTTACCTTGACAGTATTGTTGAAGCTGTTAGAAGGGAAATATTCTGTTTAGAGGTTAAGAGTGCAGTCATATATTTTTCCATGCACAGAACAGGAAAAGTAATCTGAACAGCCGCAGCATGCAAAAAACAAAAACAAAAAGGGGGGCAAATGAAGGGCAATAGTAACCGGAAAACTTGAACGAACAGTTAATTCAAAAGAAGCACAAAAGAAGCGCAGAAAGCCAAAGTGGATTCAGATTAAGAAACAAAAAGGTGCAAGCACTATTGTTTTATACATGTTGAGTTTAGCAGCTTTCGAGGATTTTGGAAGAGTACATGCCATCATCAGGAAATAGAGCTTTCAACTCACCAAGGCAGAAATGTGTGAAGCATCACCTGAGACCTCGGGGGTTCTTGTGCTGTTTGGGAGTCTGTGAGGATTACGAGCTATCGCTTGGCACCAGCCCAACATTTTCTCCTTCCACTTATCCCTTTTCAATTTCTGAAATTCTGAAAATAATTTACATTCCCTGAAACAATTATGTTTTGAGTTTCTTGCAAGTATGTCTCAGTGCATGCGATGACACGTTTGACCTGTGCATAAATAATTGAACTGTATCTACTGATAGGAAACATCAATGGTAAGGGCATCAATCCTAAATACATTATTTCCTAGAACGAGTCCCAAGTAAACGTGCTTTGGAAAACAGCTTATGGCATACTTAAGAAAATGAAACAAGTACTAGTTTATTTTGGCTAAAACCCCCACACATTTAGGATTGAGGTGTTAACTGGAATATATAGAGCCATAACAAAACATGTTACATGCACTAACAATTCAATGCAATGTTTCCCCAAATTCAGTGTGCCTTGTTTAAGTGTAGTATCAATTAATGACGGGCCTTATATAAGATTACTACAATCTAGTAATTAAAGGTTATGTTGGGAAAACATCTTTCAAGAATTTTTTTTCCTAAATTTCAATAGTCTTTAAAATCCACACATAAAACAATACATTTCCATGGTATATACTAGTTCTATTGAAGATGGTCGTACTTGTAAGAATCCAGGGCTATTTTTGAGCAGGAACGCACAGGAACGGAGTTCCGGCTGGCTCCCAAGTTGGCCACGGCCAGCAGGAACTCATTAGCATAACAGGCCACACCCAACAGCAGAAACTCATTAGGATTGGCTACATTAGGGGTGCGTGGCCTAACATGCAAAGGAGTTCCTGCTACAAAAAAAGTCCTGGGTTTTGAAGACAAACAAGGTAAACAGAAAAACAAGCAAAAGGTGGGTGTGGCTGGATAACCACACTTCTGGTAACATGGGGGTGCGTCCTAATGTGCTAATGAGCTGTGCTGGTAGGGGTGTGGCCTATTATGCTAATGAGTTTCTGGTGTTGGGTGTGGCCTATTATGCTAATGAGTTCCTGCTGGGCTTTTTCTACAAAAAGAGCCCTGAGAATATATGTAAACTACTTCTTCAAAAACATACTTGAAATAAAAAAGACATCTGTTGCTATCCTAATCATACTCTTCTGAAACACTGCTCCCTTGAAACAGTCCAGTTCAATGCAGTTTTATTCCAAACTAAACCTACTGAAATCAATGTTTTTTCCACTACAGTAACTCTCCATAGGATTGCATGGGCAATCTTATTTCCTTCTTAGTACTGAAGCATGCAATTCAAAAGAATTTTAAATATTGCATTAGCTATGTATTATGAACTGAAAATAAGTCATATTTCAAATTGCTCTCAGATGGCTGAAAGTATTATGTATTATCTAAAACTGTAAACAATCTGGAGATTAATTCCCTTGTCGCTTGGATATGTAACAATATATTCTAAAAGTGTTACAGTAAGCAAGCGCAATTGCAGAAATCTAGTTTCAGTTCACTTCCATTTCCCTGCTCTAAGTAAAAGATAGTACATGATGACCAGGGTAGCTGACACTTAAGTTTGCAGCCCCATCAATCTGCCTCACCACATATTATTTGAACTAGCAATACTTGGCACTCCTCAGTTAAAATGCACTGTTTAGAGTCACATCCTCCAGTATATATAATTCTATTTTGGTCTGGATGGACTCCCTTGAACATTCCAACACGCTCCAAAATCAGTTCGCTCTCTGATCTGTCATTCAGAGGGTCTCCCTATCCACTGGCTGCTTTGCTGAGTCCTGCCTCCAACATTCTAAACAGTTTGCTGTTCCTCTCCCCCCCCACAGCCAGTCAGAACACAGAGGTCATTTGCATATGTGGCCTGATTCGCCTTTGCCTCGGAACACAGAGGTTGTTTGCATATGCGGCCTCACTGGCCTTTCCCTCTAACATTTT